CCTGTTCACAGGATGTTTATGTTTTCTATTGCTTTTGTTTCTCTCTCTGTGTCGTAGACACTAAAGCAGGCAGTCATGTTTTTCTGTGTTCTGATCAATGCTGAATAAACTTGTAAATAATGCTCTCCTGAGTGCAACTTTTGGCTGTGCGTTATCTGCTGATAGAGCGTGCATGAGCTCTGGAATGTGGCAAGATATTTCTAGAAACTCATGTCACTAATTGTTGATACTGCGTGACTACGAGGGCTTTTGATCGTCCGGCAGCCGGCTTGGGGGCCATGATGGACTTTGTCTCCCTGGCAGTATCCCAACACATGTCACAAAATGAAAAGGGCAAGAAGAGGGGAAAAAGCAAATTCAGGCACAAGTTCTTAAGTTGCAGAGCTCTTGTAGTGGTGAGCTGGAATGGAACTACTTCAAATAGTGCTAAAGCTCTTGTCAGATATGAAAAACAATCCCTTCGGCGATTTTTAAAGGAGGAGGGGTCCGTGAGGACAGGTAAAGCATTTTGCAATTTGCAATGAGGGGGAGGGAACATCACCCACACTTTTAACTGGCTTTGTTGGCACCCAGACATGATTGGCTACAGAGCATTGTGATGACGATACGACATCATTTTGCTTACTAGAATCATGTGGTCATAGGTAGCATCCACTCGGGCTTTGCTTTAAATGTTGCTAAAGCTGCTACCAATTCTATAATAATAATAATAATAATAATAGTAATAATAAATTTTTATTTATACCCCGCCCTCCCCGGCCAGAGCTGGGCTCAGGGCGGCTAACACCAGTAAAATCATAATAAAAACATAATAGGGGAGAGGGGAAAAAACAATTTAAAATACGGGTTAGAAGACAATTTAAAATGCAGCCTCATTTTAATAGTAGCCCATAGTTCAAAACCATAAGGGGAAGGAAACATAAGGCTCAGACTGAGTCCAAACAAAAGGCCAGGTGGAACAGCTCTGTCTTGCAGGCCCTGCGGGAAGATGTCAAGTCCCGCAGGGCCCTAGTCTCTTGTGACAGAGCGTTCCACCAAGTCGGAGCCAGTACTGAAAAGGTCCTGGCCCTAGTTGAGACCAATCTAATCACCGTGTGACTTGAGACCTCCAAAATGTTGTCATTTGTGAACCTTAAGGTCCTCCGCAGGGCATACCAGGAGAGGCGGTCCCGTAGGTACATGGGTCCTAGGCCGCATGAGGAACGTTCCTAACAAAAAATAATGAACAAAGCAAGGGGAACTGGTGAGTGTCCCCTACCACAAGCAAATATTTTGCACAGACCTTCTCAAATCTGAAACAGGAAAAAAACAAAACTGCGATGTTCCTTAACAGCTTGAAGGTGAAGAGAAGCCGTGGATATTTCTGTAGCTTGCTGTGAAGTTCTAAACATGATGTGTTGTGGCTCCCACACTCTGTGCGACCTCTGTGCCTTGGACTGATTGGCAAACAGCCTATGTACCTCTGAGCCTCCCTCAGGCTGAGAAACAGTTGAAACTATCTGTAGGAAGAGGGCAGAGCAATGACCGCTACTATCCTTACATCCGGCAAATAACAGCATTCAGGAGTGAGAGGTAAGCCATCTGACAGATCTGCCAGCACAGCATTGGAACTGGTTTTTTTTTCCAGCTCAAAAGTAGCAACAGAGAGGGGGGGGACAGGTCTCCAGCACATCTGTCAGATGTCATGGCCCTTCACCAAGGCTTCTTTTATCATCTTGCTGTGTTTACATTGTGATGGGATATATCTATATTGTTCGGTTTTATTTTCTATCCCATGGCTCGCTAGAAAGGAATCTCTTTCATTTCCTAGCTGACTGCTTATATATGACACCGTGCATAGGATTTGCAAAACTGGCAAACTACAGTTTTGTTACATTTGCGGTGGTGAGTTGTTTCACAGTTATCACACAGCCGTTGATTATTATTATCATTATTATTTATTAAATTTCTATACCACCCTTCATCTGAGGACCACAGAGCAGTTTACAATATAAAAACACAAAAATAACGTGAAGGACATCCAAACCGGGCATGTTGTTGTTGTTGTTGTTGTTGTTCTGTATACCACTTATTTTAAAGGGAAAAAAATGTCAAAGTGGTTTACAACACATTAACAACATCATTTAGACAATCCAGAATAAAACAAATTCAAGCTTCTAGGAAAATATTTCAGATCCTTCTCTAAGTGACATTTGGCTTTCCCCTTAAAGTGGTACCTCGGAAGTCGAACGGAATCTGTTCCAGAAGTCTGTCCGACTTCCAAAACATTTGGAAACCAAGGCACAGCTTCCAATTGGCTGCAGGAAGTTCTTGCAGCCAGTCGGAAGCCATGGAAGCTGCGTCAGACATTCAGGTTCCAAAAAACATTCACAAACCAGAACACTCACTTCCGGGTTTGCAGCGTTTGGGATCCAAGGTACAATTGTATTTATTTATTTATTTATTTTAAATGATTTTTATTAAGGTTTCAATAAAAAATTAAACAGAAAAACATAAAAGTAGAAGTACAAAAATACACAATACATAATCCAAAAAGAGAAGGAAAACACAGAAAACAAAATACAAAAGAAACTAAAAAGAAACAGAACAATTAAAAACAATATCACTTTTCCATTTCCGTTTTTGAATTTACTTATTTTCTGGACTTCCTCATACCTCCCTCTTTTGTATTCCAGTCCAAATTGTTTGTCCAGCAATTTCTTTTCCACTTTTTTAATCCCAATCTTTAATCTTAATATAATATATAACACTTAAACTTCTTTAATCCTAATCTTTAATCTTAATGTAATATAACATTAAAATTTTACCTCTTAAGTACCAAATTTCCATTTCCTTAAACATCCTTAATCCTAATCTTTAATCTTAGTCTATCGATAACTTTAACCTGTACAGCTGGAAACCACTTATTTTCGATCCAACATCACTCTAACATTCTTTAATTTTGCAATGTTTCTGAAGATAATCTTTGAATTTCTTCCAATCTTCCTCCACCAACTCTTCTCCCTGGTCACGGATTCTACCAGTCATTTCCGCCAGTTCCATATAGTCCATCAGTTTCATCTGCCATTCCTCCAGCGTGGGAAGTTCTTGTGTCTTCCAATACTTTGCGATGAGTATTCTTGCTGCTGTTGTTGCATACATAAAGAAAGTTCTATCCTTTTTAACACCATTTGGCCGACTATGCCCAGGAGAAAGGCCTCTGGTTTCTTAGGGAAGGTATATTTAAATACCTTTTTAATTCATTATATATCATTTCCCAGAAAGCCTTAATCTTTGGGCACGTCCACCAAAGGTGAAAAAATGTACCTTCAGTTTCTTTACATTTCCAACATTTGTTATCGGGCAAATGATAGATTTTTGCAAGCTTGACTGGGGTTATGTACCACCTGTATATCATTTTCATAATAGGTACAATTGTATTTATTAACCTATATTATTTATATAGCTGCCTCTGAGCAGAAGTACTCTAGGAAGCCAGTCGGACTAGGACCTGGGAGATCAGGGTTCATATTCCCACTCAGTCATAAAGTTCACTGGGTGACCTTGGGCCAGTCACAGCCTCTTAACCTACCTTACAGGGTCATTGTAGGGATTAACTGAGGGAGAGGTGAACCATGTACTCCTTGGAGGAAAAGGTGGGATATAAATGCTTTTCTGCTTATCTGCTTAAGAAAGCTGGAGGGGCCAGACAGATGGAGATGTCAGTCACCAACCCAGCATCCAGAGATGACCGCACATTGTGGCATTCCAGTTTCTTGTATTTTTCCTGTGAATTTTATATGTCTACCCTGCTGTGTGGGAGGCCAGGAGTTCTATGGTTCCTCCTAATCAATTTACAAGCCTCCCTGGCACTTAGATGCAGCCATTTTGAGCACCCATTTGTAGCACAGGAGTCAATATAGCTGACAAAGCAAGCCGTGCATTTTTTTCATTCAAGAAAGATACATATTTCTTTTTCCCCTTCAGCAAACAAGTTCCTTGCAATAAATGATTTATCCATTTCATTATGAACTGTAACATATCCCCAATGGGCAATGTTTATTTTGAGGTGCAACGTTTGCATTTTGCCACAATTGTGGTTTGCAATACTTAATGAGCTGAAAACTTTCCCAAGTGGTATACCTGCATCCTCTGTAAACCTTAAAAACTCATGTGGCGCTGTGGTCTAAACCACAGAGCCTCTTGGGCTTGCTGATCATAAGGTTGGAAGTTCGAATCCGTGCGATGGGGTAAGCTCCTGTTGCTTTGTCCCAACTCCTGCCAACCTAGCAGTTTAAAAGCATGCCAGTGCAAGTAGATAAATAGGTACCGCTGCAGCGGGAAGGTAAATGGTGTTTCTGTGCGCTCTGGCACTTCTCAAGGCGTTCTGTTGCACCAGAAGCGGTTTACGGTCTTGAAGACTTACAGTCTTCAAACAAAAACATCCTGAAGGTCCCAGGCCACAGAGAGGTTAGGCTGGCCTCAACTAGAGCCAGGGCTTTTTCAGCTGTGGCTCCAATCTGGTGGAACGCTCTGTCACAAGAGACTTAGGGCCCTGCGGGACTTGACATCTTTCCGCAGGGCCTGCAAGACAGAGCTGTTCCACCAGGCCTTTGGTCAGGGCACAGCCTGACTCCCTCCTTTAGCAATCTTCACAGAACTTTAGCCTAATCTTCACAGAACTTTAGCCATCAATTTGAGTTGAATTACCGTAATTTTAATGAAATGATTTTAGAATGTTGTATTATTTTATTGTTGTTAGCCGTCCTGAGCCCGGCTTTGGCTGGGGAGGGTGGGATATAAATAAAATTTATTATTATTATTTATTATTATTTAGTCATGTTGGCCACATGACCCGGAAAGCTGTCTGTGGGCAAACACCAGCTCCCTCGGTCTGAAAGCAGAGATGAGTGCCACACTCCATAGCTGAAGTTGCAGGTAGGTAGCTGTGTTGGTCAGCAAGCTGAAACAAAATAAAAAATCTTCCAGTAGCACCTTAGAGACCAACTACGTTTGTTATTTGTATGAGCTTTCGTGTGCATGCACACTTATCTGAAGAAGTGTGCATGCACACGAAAGCTCATACCAATAACAAACTTAGTGCTACTGGGAGGATTTTTTAAATTTTGTTTCGACCCCATAGTGGAGTTCGACTGAACTTGACTGTCCAGGGGTCCTTTGCCTTTTTTTTACCTTTACCTTTCCCCCCCCTGTATCTTATGGTGAAATCCTTGGTCACTAAGCATTCACATCAAAGGGCAAAGTGCAAGAGCACATTGACCTCTCTTATGTTCCAGTATCTGTTCCATTCTACACAAATATAGGCACCACTTCACAAAATACCTCTACGCATTTGGATGTTGCCACCTTCAGAGTTACTCTCAAACCCTTATGAGCAGACATGCTGGTGAAATTCTTCCCCAATTCTTCTCTAGCTCGCCTTCAAAACTAACCCAGAGAAGAATTCTCAGCTTTCCCCATGCATGCATTTTTTTCTTCCTCCCACATCCCTCCCCCCCCCCGAAAAAATTTTTTGGGGAGGGGAAGTTTCTCAGCCTCTGGTCCACATTCCCTTCTGTGTGGGGGCCAGGGGGCACATAGCTGTGATGGCGAAGGTCAGTGACAAAAATTAGGTGACCATTTCCCTGATAGGAATCTTTAAAGCTGAAGCCGCTATTTTTTTTCTGTAACTGAGTTCTTAAAGAATGCTTAAATGGAATATTTAAGTCCTGAACTCTATGGTTATAACAGCAGTCCACTTTTTTTTATTTTAAGTGCCTTGCTTCCATCTCACAAACTGTGGGATACACATTTAAATATAAACTGGATGAAGGAGGTAAGCTGTCGCTGCTCAAGACTGTTGGGGGCACTTTCTGAAAATGGGCTGCGGAAGAAATGTCAAAAACTTTTTTTTAAAGCCATCATTTGTCTCGAGATAAAAATCATAAGATTACATTAATCAGGTGGTTCCTCCCAGAGGCACCTTTTCCTTTTAAGATGTAGAAGTCTTTCAGTCTCTCCCCATGCCATCTTCCTCGATGCCTGGAATCCCTAAGGTGGGAGAAAATTGCATATTATTTGCCTTCTTCGTTTCCGCTTGATCTCCCAATACGCCAAAGGGACGTAAAGAAAAGTGCATCACTGAGAGAGGGGGCAGCTATCTGTCCTCTCCTCATTGTTGTGTGTGCAATTTGTGACCTCTTTCCTCTTCATGGGCATGGGGGACAGGAGAGCCAGTTGTGTCTCCTGGAGTGTGGTAATGGAGAAAAAGCAGCCATGCAATATCATAAAATCTGCACGGTCTAATCCATAAATGCCAGCCCACAGTATAAACACTGACAAGTGGGAAACACTGGCCTGCGAGCGCTCCAGTTGGAGAACAGCCTTTTCCAAAGGTGTCATGGGCTTTGAAGACACTCGAACTCAGGACGCAAGGGAGAAATGTGCTAAGAGGAAGGCACGCTTGGCAAATCCACACCGTGATCGACTCCCGCCCGGAAACCAATGTTCCCACTGTGGAAGGACGTGTGGATCCAGAATTGGCCTCCACAGTCACTTATGGACTCATTGTTAAAACCGTGTCTCTGGAAGACAATCTTACTCGGCTACGAGTGATCTCCAAAGAAGAAGAAGAAAGAAGAAGAAGAAGAAGAAGATGGCTAGCTAAGTCAGTAGAGCATGAGACTCTTAATCTCAGGGTTCAAGCCCCACGTTGGACAAAAGATCCCCACATTGCAGGGGGTTGGACTTGATGATCCTCAGGGTTCCTTCCAAACTCTACAATTCTATGATTCTAATATTTTTGAGGGAGAGATGTAGGAGATGGAGCTGTGATCTGGTTCACTGGAGGGCAGGGACCTGTCCCTGAGCTCACGCATTAGCTTAATGAGAGGGAACATTCAGTCTGACTCCACTAGTGTCCCTAGAGCAATTGTGCAGTGGGGAGAAAGTAATTGTAGGTGCTACCTGAGAGGCACAAATCCAGTCCACTCTTTATTTTGCTCCTCAGGTAGAGGCTTCACTTGCATTTCTGCTTGCAGTAAATGAACTCTGCAATCCTAGCCCCATGGACCTGGGGAGCAAACCCCATTGAATCCAACCAGACTGACTTGTGATAAGACACGGTTAGGATTGTGCTGTAAGATGCTATAGCTTCACTACACAGAGAACACAAACATTCCCTCTCTCCATCTGCAGCACTATGTCTACAGTATTTCTCCAGGCTGTGGGCTGAAGTAACATCTAAGCCAAGGATTTCACAATTCAGGCTCCTAGAACTGCACATTTCCAAACCTAGAAAAGAAAAGAGATGGCAATAGCCTTAATTAATGTGAGTGGAAGCCCTGGATTTTTAGCTATATAAGATAACAAGACACAGTCATAGCTGTACAGCATCCTGAGGTTTCCTGAAAAGGATTAATCCACAAAGAATCCTACTTTGTACTGGGGAGAATGATGGGGGCAAATGGCTCTGAGGTCACTTTCAACCCTGTTATTTTATGGTTACACTAGAGCTTTTCTCTCAAACCCTTTAGCCCATGTACATGATCAAAAGCCCATTGGAAATGCTACAAGGTCTCCCTAAAAGGACTCTAGTGGCCTTTGGCACAGGCACACCAGCCTGAAATGGATGACTTTAAGCCTATAATAATGGTCGTCCTCACGTCTCCTTTGCTACTCCCTTACTTTTGTTGGCTCATCATAATGAGATACGAGAAGACTAATTTGCTTTATACCCAAATCAAACACACTGCCCTGGCAGAATAAAATAGGTTCACAACCAACAAATTTACACTGGTGTATGGTTTACTTGGGAAACATTTGCATGACATTAATACATTAGCATAATGTGACTTTCAAAGTCCACCTTGCCCGGATGCCCATATTCCAGCTGGGGCTACAAGTAAAACTAACAGGAGAAAAATGATAAGAAGGTTATTCTTATTCAGGACGAAGTATCCAGTATTTGGTGGGGGGGGGGGAGGTATATGCCTCCGTTTTCTTTACCCTATCCTGATGAATTTCTGCAATGAGGTTGCAGCAGAAGTAGTCATAACCAACCGAAGGAGAGCCCTGCCTGCTGTCTTAAACCAATGGCCCATCTAGTCCAGCATCCTTTTCCCGTGCCTAAGAGAAGCCCATTCATGCATGTAGTCATATCACACTGCAGTCATCAAATGGCAAGCATGCGTCTGTGTGAATGAATTGTGTTGAACCCAGTGGAATGAATCACAGCAATAATTTTAGTTGTGAAGGAAATGTAGCAGTAGAGATAAAGAAAGAATATTGATGACTTTGATGCAAACGTTCCAGCTAAAAATTCATTTAGGATCTTTCTGATGGATAGTGATGATGATGATGATGATGATGATGACGACAACGACGACAACAACAACAACAACAACAACAACAACAACAACTTTATTACTTGTACCCCACCCCTCTGTCTGGGTTGCCCCAGTCACTCTGGGCAGCTTCCAACTAATATAAAAGCATAAACAAACATTAAAAACTTCCCAACGGTGATACAGTGAAGATGGACCTCTCACAATGTAGCAGCTACTACAGAAGTTGCCCACGAAGCCACAAACTTCTGAGTCGCTCTCCTTGCTTTTATTCCACTACATGAAATGAAGTAGGATTAAAGTTTCCAGAGATCAGCGTTCTCTGTAACCCAATTACTTTCCATTAGTTTTCTTGTTTTATTCCTAGACTTGCTAATCAAAAAGGTGCAGAATAATTCTGCCAACATCTATCTTCCCTGTTCAAATTTTCCTCAAAATAAGCTTTGATATGCTTTTTTCTAAAAAAGGAACAGCGACGTTTGATCCACACTGCCATCATGTTTGTTTTTAATTAAAATGCTCAGTGTTTAAGAATAACCTTGCTTGTTATCTATAAAGGATCCTTGCAGCTCACACTAGACCTATCAAGAGATGCAAAGATGCATGTTGGTTTTGCACATTATAAATAATAATAAAAATCATGCCTAGTAAACCAGGATAAGATATAATGGGAGAACAAAGTGGTTCGCCTAGTCACGGTAGAGCATCTTGTTTAGGCAGAAGGTCCTAGGTTCAAACATTGGAAATCTCCAGCTAGAGGTGGGAATGTCCCCTGGCTGATTTCCTGGACTGCCAGTCAGTGTAGACAACATTGCATTAGATGGCTCAATGTTCTGACCTAGTATAAGGTGGCTTTCTGTGTTCCAAATGTTCTCTCCCTTAACAGATAACAGACTAGATTATTATTTTTCTTATGCAAACCTCTTTGAGAATAATTGACATAAATAAACAAAGGATGCAAGGTTTTGGAAGAAAGGTTAAGCATTCAGGTCTTTTATTTCTCATGTGGAGCCATAGAGGAAATTGTGACTCAGTTTCATTCACACCAGAAAATCAAGTCACCATTGATACAGGATGGACTTGAATCAGATAAGTGCTGGAGATGCAATGATGCTGAGGGTATGTTTTATCATATGTAGTGGACAAAAGGGTAAAAGAATATTAGTGTCTCCAAAAAATGTTTACACATCACTTGGGAAGACAAGCAAACTAATATCAGTGTACTGTACTGGCATAAGCAAAGATCACCAGTGTTGAAGCAGTGATACTTCAACATGAACTTTGTTGGACTGGTCATGTTGTGTGGATGCCTGATGATCATCTTCCAAAGCAACTACTCTATTCTGAACTTAAAAATGGAAAGCGTAATGCTGGTGGTCAATAAAAGAGGTTTAAAGACTGTCTCACGGCAAATCTGAAAAAAATGTAGTATAAACACTAACAAGTGGGAAACACTGGCCTGTGAGCGCTCCAGTTGGAGAACAGCCTTTACCAAAGGTGTCATGGGCTTTAAAGACACTTGAACTCAGGACGCAAGGGAGAAACATGCTAAGAGGAAGGCACGCTTGGCAAATCCACACTGTGATCAGCTCCCACCCAGAAACCAATGTCCCCACTGTGGAAGGACGTGTGGATCCAGAATTGGCCTCCACAGTCACTTATGGACTCATTGTTAAAACCGTGTTTATGGAAGACAATCTTACTTGGCTACGATTGATCGCCAAAGAAGAAGAAGAAAAGAGTATTAGGAAATAATTGGGAAATAAATTATAATGGATTGAATTTTGTTTCAAAAGTACTTTCCCCACAAAAAAACAGAGTCCTTTTTTTTGTTTTTAATAACATGATTATTAGGATTTTTAAAATATTACAATAAAAAATGAAAAAAAATAAATAAATACAAAATAAAAATGATTAAAAACACTCAGATTTTCTATTGCTTATTTTTCCTTAGTTTGTTTTCCGGACCTCCTCATACCTCCCTTTTTTGTATTCCAGTTCAGTTTGTTGGTTCAGCAAATCCTTACCCTCTTTATTTATCCTAATCTTTAGTCTTAAAATAGTAACTTTAGATTTTTATCTCTTAACAACCCATTTTTCATATTCCCTTAAAGCATTACAGCTGGGAACCACTTAATTTCTATCCAACATCGTTCTAACATTCATTAATTTTACAATATTTCTGTAGATAATCTTTGAACTTCTTCCAATCTTCTTCCACTGACTCTTCTCCCTGGTCTCGGATTCTGCCAGTCATTTCTGCCAATTCCATATAGTCCATCAGCTTCATCTGGCATTCTTCCAGAGTGGGTAAATCTTGTGTCTTCCAGTACTTTGCGATGAGTATTCTTGCTGCTGTTGTGGCATACATAAAAAAAGTTCTATCCTTCTTTGGCACCAATTGGCCGACTATGCCCAGGAGAAAGGCCTCTGGTTTTTTCAGAAAGGTATATTTAAATACCTTTTTCAGTTCATTATATATCATTTCCCAGAAAGCCTTAATCCTTGGGCATGTCCACCAAAGGTGAAAGAATGTACCTTCAGTTTCTTTACATTTCCAACATTTGTTATCGGGCAAATGATAATTTTTTGCAAGCTTGACTGGGGTCATGTACCACCTATATATCATTTTCATAATATTCTCTCTTAAGGCATTACATGCCGTAAACTTCATACCTGTGGTCCATAACTGTTCCCAGTCAGCCATCATTATATTATGTCCAACATCTTGTGCCCATTTAATCATAGCAGATTTCACCGTTTCATCCTGAGTATTCCATTTCAACAGCAAGTTATACATCTTTGACAAAATCTTAGTTTTGGGTTCTAATAGTTCTGTTTCTAATTTTGATTTTTCCACCTGGAAACCAATTTTCTTATCCAAATTATATGCCTCCATTATCTGATAGTAATGAAGCCAGTCTCGCACTTTGTTTTTTAATTTCTCAAAACTCTGCAATTTCAATCTATCTCCGTCTTGTTCCAAAATTTCCCAATATTTTGGCCATTTGGCCTCCATATTGAGCTTTTTCAGAGCTTTTGCTTCCATCAGTGACAGCCACCTTGGGGTTTTATTTTCCAATAAGTCCTTGTATCTTATCCAGACATTAAACAATGTTTTCCTGACAATGTGATTTTTAAATGCTTTATGTGCTTTGACCTTATCATTCCACAGATAAGCATGCCATCCAAATACATTGTTGAAACCTTCTAAATCCAAAATGTCAGTGTTTTCAAGAAGCAACCATTCTTTCAACCAGCAGAAAGCTGCTGATTCATAGTAAAGTTTAAAGTCTGGCAGGGCAAATCCACCTCTTTCCTTTGCATCTGTTATTATTTTAAACTTTATTCTAAGCTTCTTGCCCTGCCAGACA